TAGTATATACCTACTAGGTTTGTTCCATGTAGGATTAAAAAATGATCTTGGTTGTTCCGTTGGTATAAAAGATACTTGGTTCGATGATGTCGGTGGAGCAAATTACTGATACCTCTGCTTCTCCTTCTCATAGTTCTTGGATTTTGATGCAAACCCCTGATTAAAATTGAAACTTTGAAAGTTATTGAATGTTTGATTTTGTCAATTAGATCGATTTCCTTTTCATCCATATGTATTTTTCATTTGAACTTGATTGACATCCCACTAAGTCAATGGGATCATGGTCTGATTACTGAATTGTTGTTACTTTTGCCAATTCCAATAATTAACTGTTAAGTGCTTTCGTCCGCAAAATGTACATTATTCCATCATTTGTGAGGGTGAAGGGCATTGTGTTACCAAATGACCATGACCCTTACAATTACTCCATCATACATTGGTCCTAGTATTGGTAGGCTTGTACTTTTTTTCTTTATCCTTGGCCATATTGATGGCCATTTCTACCATTTTCTTCGTCAGGTTCAATAATAAGGTTTCATTGAAATCTTTTGGGACTAGTATTAATAGTAATTTTGTCGTAGTTAATATTTGTTGTTTATATGGAAAATATGGAATATACATTGTTGTCACGTTCGGTGGTATAGCTTGCAAAGGGGTGACATTAACTAACCCCTAAATATTGGCACTGAAAGTAGCCCTTGTTTCTAACATCTAAGAATAACTACCCACTAATTCATTCCAAGTCAGATTGTGATAACTGCCTTGAATTGGAATCATCATAGCTCCCGCAGTTAAAAACTGATCATAATGGCATTCCTCTCAAACCTTGGCTCTATTAAGAGATGCAAACACGATAATAGGTTGAGCTTTCTTTATAAATATTTTTAACTCTGGTGGGTGAAAACCATTGATTAATATGGATAAGATAAATGCCTCCGATATTTGATAATTCGGCCACTTATTGAGTATATCAGCCACCCAAGCATAATATGATTCTACCGCCTCCCTTAGGATCATTTTGTTGTTCATTAAGCTCTCTCGAAGATAATCCTCAAAACCTATTAGCCAAAAATGGGTTAATAATGCATTCTTCCATGCTTCCCAATTCAAAAATTGACCCACTGATTGGCAATTGTACCATTCAAACGCTGTGTCCTTCAAGGTTGCTGGCAACCATCGTAACCAAATATCTTCAGTTCTTCCATTTTTGGCTACATATGCTGTCAGAAATTGAGATAAATTTTGATCGGGATCTGCACCCAAAAAGCCCCTAATACTATGTAATAGAACCATGCTGGTTGTGCGATCGCCTATGTCACCCATTTGGACTGCTATTGGAACTGCTAGGCGACTTGTCGTCATTGAAGAGGAAAATGTGTTGCTTAATCTCTTATTAAAATTACCACTGACTTCTCCAATTATCTTTTCCAGACTTTTCAACCTCCTTAATTTACTATTATTATCCTTGAATAAGTTTATTGATTGAATTGGAGGTAAAAATGATGGATTTTAAAATATGCTGAATTAGTCCTTATTGGCAAGCAGTTGATGCTATTCTACAGAACCAGTTTTTACAGAATCGACAGTTTTCACTATTAGGAAGGTATCCAACAGAGTACCCAATTCTTCTGTGTTTCCTCCACTTGTAGTTAATGAACTCAAGAGATACATTGGGCTATTGACAAAATTTCCTACAAGTGCTCTTAGCAATTTTTTTAATGATACATATGTCTAAAATATTAGAGATCGGTTAGCTTCTGCATATGCTCGGATATGTTGACAGGCATGCAACCATGACTTAATCCAACTTTTTTGACGCTTCTTTTTTAACTTGCGTTCTTGCTCATTTTGCAATGATTCTCTTGCTTGCGCTCTCTCTTGTCTTTCTTTCGATTGGCATGTTTTCTTTCCAGCAATGCTCTCATTCTTAATAACCATAATCTTTCATTATATACTGTTGAATTTGCTTCCTATTTCCCATCTACTCATCCGGCAGTTAATTCTTAATACTCAATGCTATTATCAATCCCCGACAACGGTGCCAAAATGTGATTATCATTTTACTTATTCTACAAATTCCTTTCAGAATAAACCTGTATAGGAAAATTCGAACACAGGAAAAGACTAAGCGCATGAACTTACATGTTAGGGTCACACAATTAACCGTAATTTGAACTACTAAAACACCAAGAAATATTACGATACTTTTTCCTAGTAACAATACTCCTTCATCAACTAATAATAACAGTGTGCAACTCTACACTCTCAAAAGACATAATTTCCATCCAACACCAGAAATAACAAACTTCACTCCAACAAATCTGAATTCACATAATTTCTGTAATCACAGACTTCCTCTGTCAAAACACACAGAGCTCTTAATAAACAACAATAATAATCTTTCAATAACTCTTCATATAATTCAATCACTTAGTACTCCAATTACATAATCAATAACTCATAAATCAATCTCTGATTTATTCCACAAACTCACTTCTCAGTATTCAGAAACTATCCATTACTCCTCAATAACAAAGAAACAAAGAAACAAAGAGGTAGCACCAAGCTTACCTTGGCTCATGACTATCACAGTCTGGCACTCCAAAAAACTTCTACAATTCCTATATAATTACTCTTGATTTCTAGATTCTAACCGAAATCCTGTAATTAACTGCTTTTAATAACTAAATCAATCATCCATCTTCCTGAACAGAATATTCTATGGACTATTAGTCTATTTTACCAATATCTTATAAAGACGAACTAATATATATTCTACAGTTTGATTTTCAATAACCTTTGAATTTATCTTTAAATCAAGCTCAAAATTATGACATAAATTCAATATAATATCAATTATACAATCACAACTTTCTGATCATAGATCATCTATTAATTTCACATAATTCTCTAATGTATAAGCTCTTTTATTTCTTAAAAATCAAAATTATTGCAAAATAATTTTAATTTTGTAAAGCTTTTACAAAGTCAATACAAACTTAAATCACTTCAAATCAATGATCAAAAGAACTTTTATTTAGTCTACTCTTAAATTCCATTTTCTAATTAATCAAAGAACCTCTAAATTGATATAGATGCCTAATTTTGTGGCTTGGGATCTGATTTCGACCTTGATTCACAATCAATCCTCTCTGAGTATCAATTGTTAGTTTCTTAAGATAATTTTTGCTAAAACATATTCTTAATTCCTTTTTAAAGTTGTTTATATTAATTATTTTTCTTATTTGATTTTATTTGCTTCAATTATGGCTTTACAAAATAAGTAGAAGTCATTTTTTCAAAAGGCAGTATTAGTACTTATTAAGTTTTATTACCTCCTTATTTATTTTCTATACTTTGAAGATAGTTTGCTATGATATTTTTTATTAAGCTCTATTATAATATAATCATTCTTTTTTTTCTTTCACATAATGGCTATGTTACAACATAATAATTTTATATTTAAGTATAGCAATAAAATTGAAATAGAATCCTAATTTTAACTCTTTGAGATCAAACTCACTTAAGATGTTTTATAAAATAATAGCTTTAATTTCTCAAGGGATTTCTTAGAGAAAACGGTAGAAGTTTGAATAAGCAAAAGATTGTTATAATTTTGCTCAATATCCTTGTTGGAATTCAAATTTTTGAATCTAGTGTTGAGTTGGTATATTATTGGCAAATACTTCACTATATCCAATGGTAGGGATTTTTGCAATGGTATGTAATTGTTGCCACATAACTTTGTCAAATATAATATAATTTAGTGCAATAGCAAAATTATAATAAAAGTCTTAATTATATTTCTTTGAAACTGATCTCATAGAATAATAAAATAATAGCTCCAACTCTTTTAAGCATAGTTTAAGAACAATAACAAAGCTTTGAATATGAAAAATATTGATGTTATTTTGTTCAATATCCTAATTAATATTTAAATTTTTGAATCTAGTAATGAAAAAATGCACTATTCAAATGCTACAATCAAAGTATTATTTAATCTTTGTAAAAAGAATAAATAGTTTTGACATATTTTTTTGTAAATATTACAAAATCCACAAGAAATAATAACATCAAGAAGGTAACACATAGAATATATCTTTATCAAAAATATAATATAACATAAATAAATCAAAAAATCAAACTAAAAAGTTAGTAAGCTAAACACGACATAAGCAACAAATCACCATCATATACAAGAAATAAGAAGAAAACGTAAGTATAGAATTTTCTATACAATCATAAGATGTTGAGAACTCTTCGGAAAGGATTTCAGACACAAACTTAATCTGCAATCCACACTATTTTCGTAATTTGTTTTTTCAATGAATAGGTGTCACATGATTTTTCAAGCAGTAAGACCGATCGCACAAACAATTTTCTAAAGTTCCTACACACCGTAAGAGTCGAATTCAACAACCTTGATAACCATGCCGCAGAATAAGCAGCCATTACACTCGCCGTTCGATCAACTTTTGATGAATTATGGGGGTGCAATCACGGACTTGGGCAGAAAATCTGGAAATCACATATTTCTCGAGGTGGGTTTTAAACCTGAGCTAAAATTTCTTACGTTGGAGGTCAAGGTCGATGTATATCTCTGCTGGTCCTTCTAGGGATTGTAGAGTAGCCCAGCGCAGCATGTGATTGCAACCTAAATTCCTCCATCTCTAGCCCCCGCAACAAGCGACTAGCGGGGAAAGTCCAGTCAGACTAGACCAGTAGCTGATCCAAAACTAGATTTTTGTAGAGTTCAACACTAGCTAAAGGAAACTGCTCCATTGCATTCAGCACCGGCTCGTACATCAAATTTCGGATTGGTCGAATGAGGTGGTTGTTGATTTCAAAAAACATTAGATTTCTACCATTCGGGGAACATGAAAATAGTGGATAATAAGATATGGAGCATACAGTGCTCCAACCAATGGCGCCACTCTGACGTTCACGAAATTCCCTGGATTGTCCTTCTTTATCTCTGCGAATCAGACGCATTCCATCCAAACACCACAATCGGATGGCGCCTGTGAGCTCTCGGCATGGTCGCCAGCGCCTCTCGGCCACTCGCATGGAAACTCAAGATATCCTTTAGAGCCACCACTTCATCCTAGCCTTACCCTCAAATCATCCGCCCAAGTGCAATCCTGGCACGGGCCAAGAGCAACCATCGCACGGCCTACTGTGTGTGTGACTAATAGCAAATCCATATCTGTGCGAATCATCTCGTGAGCGATTGTGATACACTGATCGTAAGTCGTTGCAATGGCGCAGGCACTGAGGAGCGCGAGCATTGCCGCGTCGTCCTTCGTCGGCTCCGTTGAATGCTTCGGAGTGAAGAATGGCGCCCGCGTCGTAGCCAGGTCCTCCCTCGGCGGCAAGGCCAAGCAGGTTGCCAAGCAGGCTTCCAAGACCTTGAAGAAGTCCTCCGGTGCCGGTGCCGATAGGCCGCTGTGGTTCCCCGGCGCCCGGGCGCCCGAGTGGCTCGACGGGTCCCTCCCCGGAGACTATGGTTTCGACCCCCTGAGCTTGGGCAAGAGCCCCGAGTACTTGCAGATCGAGCTCGACTCGCTGAACCAGAACTTGGCGAAGAACGAGGCCGGTGACGTGATTGGAACCCGCATCTCGAAGAAGGAGGAGATCGCCCCCACCCCATTCCAGCCCTACAGTGAGGTGTTCGGTCTGCAGAGGTTCAGGGAATGCGAGTTGATCCACGGGCGATGGGCTATGTTGGCCATCTTGGGAGCTCTGTCGGTGGAGGCCTTCACCGGTGTGACATGGCAGGACGCCGGAAAGGTACGGAGTAACATGCTGCGTGTGTGGGGTTGCATTGGATGCATGGTTTTGCTCGGTCGAGGGTTAGAGGGAGTAATATTGTTATGCGCGAGGATGCAGGTGTGAGGTGGAAGGAGGGCTTCATGGTGAGGAATGTGCGTGGGAAAACGAAGTCGTCGTGTGTTGGATGTGGTGGTTAGTTGCAGGACCGCATCGCGGCGGCAAGAGTGGTGCTTGATTGTGAGGTCTGTGAATGGGTCGGATAGAAGGGATGGTGGGGTAGATATGGCGAGGCTAACGGGTAGGTTATGGACGTGCAGGTTGAACTGGTAGATGGAGCGTCGTACTTCGGACTTCCACTGCCATTCAGCATCACCAGCTTGGTGTACATCGAGGCGTTTTTGGTGGGATTCATCGAGTTCCAGAGGAATGCCGAGCTCGACCCAGAGAAGAGGCTGTACCCCGGCGGGAAGTTCTTCGACCCATTGAACTTCGCCGACACCGAGGAGAAGAAGGAGACACTGAAATTAGCCGAAATCAAGCACGCCAGGTTGGCGATGGTGGCCGCTTTGGGATTCGCCGCTCAGGCCGCGGCGACGGGCAAGGGACCTCTGGACAACTGGGCGACGCATTTGGCAGACCCCCTGCACACCACCATCTTCGACACATTCTCGAAGTGATAGAGTAAGACAGTGTGTTTGTAGCCGAGAGTCGAGAGTCGAGAGCGATCTAAATGTAAGGAGGCAATGTAATTTAAAACCCAATTTCTCACTAACCCTTATTCAACCTTCCATGCGGGATTCTTGGTTGCCTTGATGTGTGCTATGCGCGTTAGCTTTCTGAAGCTTATTCCGACTTGTTGGTATGAAGTTGTCGGTCCTGGAGCACATTTCCATGTATCTTACTGGCATCAATGCCATTGAAAAAGCAAAAATCTGATCATTGAAAAGTCCCAATTCTGTTCATACACCACTTACGTAGAGCAAATGTGCCTCGATCAACTCGAGAAAAAATGAACATGTAGATCAAATGTATGGTAAAGAAAAGCAACTGAATATTTATTCGAAAATTGTTAAATAAAACTTAATAATGAAAATCTTATTGTACTGATGTATAAAATCTACATTGATGTACATAAATACAAAATATAAATGTATAATGATGTACATTAATCATATGCATTATATTTATTACATCTTTATAATTATGTAATAAATGCAATATAATGATGTAATAAATGTATAATGATGTACATTATAATGCATATGATGAATGATCTAATAATGATGTACATTATAATATAATGATGTAATAATGTACATATTATAATGTATAATGATGTACATTATAATATACATTATAATGTACATCATTATACATTTTATATATAATGTATATTTCAATATAATGATGTATAATGAGAGTATAATATGCTATATATATATATATACTAGTATATGAGAGTATAATAAGATTTTCATTATTACGTTTTATTTAACAATTTTCGAATAAATATTCAGTTGATTTCCTTTACCATACATTTGATCTACATGTTTATTTTTTCTCGAGTTGATCGAGGCACATTTGCTCTACGTAAGTGGTGTATGAACAGAATTGGGACTTTTCAATGATCAGATTTTTGCTTTTTCAATGGCATTGATGCCAGTAAGATACATGGAAATGTGCTCCAGGACCGACAACTTCATACCAACAAGTCGGAATAAGCTTCAGAAAGCTAACGCGCATAGCACACATCAAGGCAACCAAGAATCCCGCATGGAAGGTTGAATAAGGGTTAGTGAGAAATTGGGTTTTAAATTACATTGCCTCCTTACATTTAGATCGCTCTCGACTCTCGACTCTCGGCTACAAACACACTGTCTTACTCTATCACTTCGAGAATGTGTCGAAGATGGTGGTGTGCAGGGGGTCTGCCAAATGCGTCGCCCAGTTGTCCAGAGGTCCCTTGCCCGTCGCCGCGGCCTGAGCGGCGAATCCCAAAGCGGCCACCATCGCCAACCTGGCGTGCTTGATTTCGGCTAATTTCAGTGTCTCCTTCTTCTCCTCGGTGTCGGCGAAGTTCAATGGGTCGAAGAACTTCCCGCCGGGGTACAGCCTCTTCTCTGGGTCGAGCTCGGCATTCCTCTGGAACTCGATGAATCCCACCAAAAACGCCTCGATGTACACCAAGCTGGTGATGCTGAATGGCAGTGGAAGTCCGAAGTACGACGCTCCATCTACCAGTTCAACCTGCACGTCCATAACCTACCCGTTAGCCTCGCCATATCTACCCCACCATCCCTTCTATCCGACCCATTCACAGACCTCACAATCAAGCACCACTCTTGCCGCCGCGATGCGGTCCTGCAACTAACCACCACATCCAACACACGACGACTTCGTTTTCCCACGCACATTCCTCACCATGAAGCCCTCCTTCCACCTCACACCTGCATCCTCGCGCATAACAATATTACTCCCTCTAACCCTCGACCGAGCAAAACCATGCATCCAATGCAACCCCACACACGCAGCATGTTACTCCGTACCTTTCCGGCGTCCTGCCATGTCACACCGGTGAAGGCCTCCACCGACAGAGCTCCCAAGATGGCCAACATAGCCCATCGCCCGTGGATCAACTCGCATTCCCTGAACCTCTGCAGACCGAACACCTCACTGTAGGGCTGGAATGGGGTGGGGGCGATCTCCTCCTTCTTCGAGATGCGGGTTCCAATCACGTCACCGGCCTCGTTCTTCGCCAAGTTCTGGTTCAGCGAGTCGAGCTCGATCTGCAAGTACTCGGGGCTCTTGCCCAAGCTCAGGGGGTCGAAACCATAGTCTCCGGGGAGGGACCCGTCGAGCCACTCGGGCGCCCGGGCGCCGGGGAACCACAGCGGCCTATCGGCACCGGCACCGGAGGACTTCTTCAAGGTCTTGGAAGCCTGCTTGGCAACCTGCTTGGCCTTGCCGCCGAGGGAGGACCTGGCTACGACGCGGGCGCCATTCTTCACTCCGAAGCATTCAACGGAGCCGACGAAGGACGACGCGGCAATGCTCGCGCTCCTCAGTGCCTGCGCCATCTCTCAAGCGCAATCGTTAGCAGGCAATTACGCACAAGGCCCTTTGCAATCGCTCCGAATTGTCACACCTATGTGCCTGCCTGCAATATCCTGATCCTGAGTATCCTGAGAATATGTTTTGAGCGCTCAGATGCAGTGGTGCTGCGCCCTGGAAAGGATATCTTGTGCTTCCACGCGAGTGGTCCAGACGCGTTGCTGCCACACACGGCAAACTATCGTCTCCCTCATCCGCGATTTCTCTCGGTCTTTAGGATGATAAACGTTTCCATCTAGTGGATGTCATCTTGATTCTGTTCGTTTCTTGAGGATGAAAAGAATCGATGGGTTGGATAAAGTGGAGGATGTTGTAAGGTTGGTGATTGGCCGAGCTGCGCCATTGGCTGGAGTCCTCATGGGCTGTTATCCACTCGCTTTCGTTTTGTTTTTTTTGTTTTTTTTTGTTTTTTTGTTTAATAATCGATGTTTAATTTACTGAAGCATTTTAGCGTTGGAGCTCAGAATGTTCTTGGCTGCATTGATCACAAATCTCTGTTCTACTTGTTAGCTTAATTACATGTTAGCTGTAATAATACATTATAAAATCTCTTTGACTGTTTTGTTCATAATGCAATGCACATACTCAAGTAAATGACATGTTTTAACAAACTTGGCAAAAATATAAAACATGAGCTGACATGAAACAGTAGTTTTATTGTGGCTTGTGTGTAATATTTGTACATGTGTTTATATCTGTATTTATAAATATAAGTAAATTAAGGGTGTCACTAATGCTATCATACTTTTTTCTACAACTTTATTTTAACTAAATTTTAATTTTGCAAATTTTAATTTCAGCATAATTTGAAAAAAAATCATACAGAAAATTTTAATATAATTTTTTTATTAGAAATACAAAAGAAAACAAAAAATATATAATAAGTAGGTAGCAAGTTGTGGTGGTTGTAGCAAAAACTATAGTGACATTAGCAATACCATATGTGTGTATATGTATATATATATATATATATATATATATAATTCAAAATCTCATAAATATATATTTTTTTAAAATGACTTAAAAAAGAAAAACTGTCTACCTATCTTTATATATTATTAAACTAATTGTAGCACTAAAAAATAAAGTGTTCCTATTATGAACATTGAAAATAAATATTATAGATTTTCAAATTCTTAATTTGCACTATGTATATGTTTGAATTCATCTAAACATGCTCATATCTATATACACAAGGAAACTTATGTATATGACAAGGAAACAAAGAAGTCTTCTCATTGATTTATATTAGAGAAATTGTTAATCCATACATAGTCTTGCATGTAGAAAGACATTGAGTTTACTAAATGCAAATAACTTTTCCATGCCCAATAACATTGGTTTTTTCTAGAATATATGTATATGTTTATATATATATATATATATATATATATATATATATATATATTACTTTAAAAAAACATCTAATAATCATGTCGTGCAATTTTAAGATTGTAACATAATGCATTGAATATTACATGTTGTTCTTTAATTTATTCTTTATATTTAAAAGAACATACATATATATCATAAAATATATGGATATTAAAAAAATTATGTGTAAATCATAAATAAAAATTTGTTTAAAATCTTGGTTGCCATTGATCTATATTTTTAATATTCAAAATTTTTTGGTGTTGTAATAAAACTATGTTGTTACAAAGTTTAGACTTTTCTAATTCATTATCAATTCTTCAAAGCAAAAATAATATTAGACAATCTTTAGAAATTATTATGTATAAAAATATTATTTGTAAAGAGCCACATTCATTTTTTTGATTAAATATAGTCTATACAAGAATATATATATATATATATATATATATATATATATATATATATATATATTTAAAAATAATAATTTTTTTTATTAATCTTGAAAATTTAATGTAGATGATATTATTATTTTTATTGGCTAAATATACAAATAAAAGAACATGGTACTTGATAATACAAGTTTCTACCAATATATATAGATATATATCTATATATATATATATATATATATATATATATCAATAGCTCTATAATTTTGATCATCTATAGATTACTCATCATTGTACATTGATAATTCATTTAATAATTAAAATTTAATCAAAAAAATAATTTACTCTACAATTAAAGCACTTATCTATTGTTATATACATCAAATATTAGAGAGGTTGCATATGTGTTTGTGTATATACATTTATAAACTCACATCTAAATTATAAATTCAAGTTTTCAACTATACTTCATATATAATTTATATAAATTTTGTAGAATATTAATCACCATTTTATAAATCAAACATAAGTTAATATAGATATTCTAAATTTTCAGATAAAAATCTAAAGTGAATCATACATCTCATCCACTATTGAATAAAATCATGATCTTTACATTTTCAGTGCATACATCAAGCTTGATGTCATTTTAATTGAACATATATGGCAAACAACCTCTCCAAACTTATTGTGGAGTTGCTCTATTTTATTTTTTTTTAGACTATTTGAGAGCCTATTTTGTTTCACTTTGTATTTAAATGATCATTCTTTGAAGTAAAAAGGTGTTGCTTGAGTTTTAGGTGCATGGAGAAATCAAAAGGAAATAAAATTCAAATATAATGAAGGATTTTCATGTTGAATTTGTGTTGAATTTGGTATTGAATAGGGACCAAGTTTGGTGAATGGCTCATGTTTCTACAATATTGTCTATTATTATTAGTACTTTATGTATTGAATATTGAAGTACACAAGATTAGAGTTCCATATTTGAATTTTGTGAGAGTGTCCAATGAAACTATTGTCAAGGACATGAATCTCTAAGAATAAAAATCTTCAATATATTCTTGTATTAGTAAAGAAAACTAGAAAGTCATTCAAAGGTGATATAATATTAAACTAGAATAGCTATTGTCAAAAACAAGAAGACTAGAAAGTCTTAAAATAAGACTAAGGACTAAGAAGATAGTGACAAGAGTGAAGAAGGCTTCACTCTTGCCTCTATATATACTCTTAAATAGGAGTTATAAGGCGATGTCTTATAAGACCTCTAAAAACATGCTGACTTTATAAGACACATATTTTAATTTGCAAGGCAAGTTTTTATATGTGTGGCACATAGTTAGCTTGTTTTGCAAGCTATCAACATGTGATTGACTTGTTAACCAAGTTTCTAATCTACCAATCAACTATAAATACATATAAAGTCAAAGCAACATTTGTAAAGCTTCTAGGAAGCTTCTCTAAAAGATATTATAAAATCAATATACTTTTATTTACTTTTATTTATTTCTATCTAGTCATATAGATATTTATTAATGTATTTATGTATATGTGTGACATTATCTCCCCTTCTAGGAACGAATTCCATGAGGAGTGGTCTTCATATGTTGAAAAAATCTAAGATGCAACAAATTATGTTTGCCACATACTCTAATCTTTGTTCTCTTTGAAGTTGGTTGATAGATCCTCTCAGCCATTGTTAGTGTCCCATACCAACGCAAGAAGACTTCCATATTGTTTGGTCATTGTTGATGCCTTTGTAACTTCCTTCCAATAAAATACTGGAACATCGTCAAAAGTTATTCCTATCACTAATAAAATTATCAAACATCATGAGTCTCTTCCAAGTTCATGATACCAAACACATTGTATGTCACAATCTATTTAAAAAAAGATATGTTATCCTTAAAGATCTTTATTTTGATTTTTTAGTCTTGAAAGTTGTAATAATTACAATGTATTGTTTAGTAAGTCTACAAATGAAAGCTCTTGAATTGAATCTGGTAGTTGTTGATTCTCCATCTCTTTGCTATTACAAATACACAAAAGCTATAAAGAAGGATAGAAGGTAGAGTATTAATCTCTTTTTTGATTTTGTTTCTTTTATAGCAAAGATTTTGTATTCTTCATCTTGATTTTGATGGATGTCGTTGATGAAAAGCTTCAACTTTCTTTACTGCATTTACAAGATTTTTTGCTGGTTCCCATGTACATCCATTAATATCATATCTACATCAATAAACAAGATATTCCAATAAATTTGATGCTGCCTTAAATCTAAGACCTCTCTCACCTTGAACTCTTGATGATTATCCACTTCTATTTAAAGAGGTGGTATTTTTCTTTTTTTTGAGATATTCATTGTCTTATATCACTCAAGAATAGATATATAAAATAGAAGGTGGATTTTTATAGACTCCGGTAGATGTAATTAATAAGTAACAAGATTGACTTATTTACTAATAGAAAAATATCTAAGCCTACAATAGTTCAACTTGTCACAAAGATGAGTAGTTTTAATATTATGATGAAGTAATTATACCTTGTTACCTATGTTAAATTATGGTTGTTCCTTGTGATAGGTATTTGCATTAATTTTTTGTCATTCTTGAACTCTCAATAATTGTGCCTTTATTGTTGCATGTAGCTGTAACAATCAATTTGCCAATTTTTTTGTGGTAGGTTATCAACTTTTGAAAAGTCAAAAGTATCAAGTCATAGATGATAACCATAGTTGGCAAAGAAAGGTGTTTGTTGATTAGAAGAATATACTAAATTATTCTATATAAACTTTATAAATCGTAAAAGAGTTGTCCAATCATCTTAATGATACTTGATAGTACACTTCAAGTACTACTCCAAAATTTGATTTATTTATTCTATTTGTTTATGAGTTTGCTAATAAAAAGCCAAAAAGAGCTTTATATCTACTTTTAATATCTTGAAAAGGATTCTCTAAAATCTTAAAATTTATTAAGTTTGCCTATCCAATATAATATCTTTAAGCGATCTGTGATAGCAATAAATGTTGTTAAGAAAAAGCTTAGCCATTTTTTCATATGAGATAGATTTTGTACTTGGTACAAACTGTGCAATCTTAATAAAATGATCTACTCATACAAATATAAAATCATACAAACCTGAGACTGAAAGATCTATAATAAAATCTATAGAAACAAAAGAAATTAGTTGTTTTGAAATAGATAATGATTGAAGAAGTCTATAAGGTTGATGGCAATGAGTTTTAAATCTTGAACAAATATCATATGATTGTACAAAGTCTTCGACTGCCTTCCACATTTGAGGTTACCAAAAATCTCTCGATATTAGCTCCAACATCTTATTGTATCTAATATATTTGGTTGTTGATAAGTCATGATGACTTTGAAGAACTCTTAATT